TGTCCTTTTCAGATAATTCCTGCAGTCACGCTAGAAGCTTGACCTAATTACAGGAAGGCCTAATTAGAATACCCCTGATGAAGTTTGTCTTCTATTATCTACTTTACTCAACTACATAGGGTGCATTGTAAAATAAAAATCCAATATCAATGTGCTAATATACATCAGCTTTAAAACTGATTTATCGAGTCGTTTTTCTCGTTATTGTAGTTATTTTCTATTGAAAGCGACTACATTCAGCTTCGGGAAGGGGCACAACAACTGATAGCAGCCACAGCAGCTGTTGCTGAAGTTGCTGCAGCAGCTCCATCTTTTTATTCGTCGTTCTTTCCTTCTGTGGCGGTCACTCCCATGGCTCAGTCCCAACGACTAAAAATGGCTAGGTTTCCTGAGCCCGTGGGACCTAAACAGAACAATTTGCCTTCTCAGATCCTAGATGCTCCCAGTCAGAACATGAATGGTCGTGGTTCGTTTCATCTTGGTAGGGGCTCAAATGTGAAGGTTATCAGTAAGGCTAAAGATCACTTGAACTTGAATGCCCCTGATTATTCTGAAAGAAAGGGTGCAGGCAACAGGTATTTTTCCTTGATACATATTCAACTTTCTCTTTGTTTCTGCCTTTGGCTGTATTATATAACTTCTCAACTAAATGATGTGGTAATTATCTGTATATTTTTCAGGGAAGTTGGAGCTGCATCAAATCTAAGAAGATAGTAAGTTAGATTTTTTCTTTCCGAACATGTTTTCATTCTTCACGAAGACATCGTTTTTCTGCCTGCTATAATTTATGGGCTTTTTTGGCTCCTTGGCTGGCATTCTTAATATTATTAAAACTGTGTAAAAGGGGAAGTTGTTAACAAAGATGGTTATGCAAAAAGATAGTAATAAAGTGAATAGGTGCGTTGTGCTCGTGATATAATGTGGGTTATACTAAAAGATGCAATAAGGAAAGCTTCACTTGAAATTTGAGAAACCTTTTAGAATCATATAATATGCTTTTATGAGTAGCTGGAGCATATGAATTTATATTCTTATTATTTCTATACATTACTAGTATTTGTGTTTTCCTTATTTTGTTATTTGCATTACACCCTGTTGACGTGCATAGTTTTTATCAATTTCACTGCATTTGAGACTTCTGACTATCTATTAAGTCTTACCATTCGATTGTTTCTACAGGATGGCATCTTTTTTTTATCAAATATAGTCGGTTGCCTTGAACTAAATTATTGTCACCGGAGTTGCGAGCAAAGAATTGGAGATGGTTCATGAATGAAGGTTGTAAACTCCAAAGATCTCCAAGTACATTTTATTTTCTGACTCCTGAAGACTGTTGATTAAAGAACTTATTTTTATATTAATTGGAAATGCTGTAGTTTTTGCTTACTCCTGGTAAAAATTATGAGCAACTGCACGACGCTATGTGTTGGTGCACCGTTTTGAATTTTGGTCAAGTTCTTCAAAACTTGGTGCTTTTGGGATGTTTGGTGAACTTATATTAGTTTTCACCATGTCAATGCTGCCAATCATTTGAGCTCAGGGAACTGGAGTCGTATTAATTCATATGTTTTTCAGTTATTTTCAGAATTATTTTTTTACCATGCTTTGAGTTACTGGACACCGCTCATCCAAGTTGATTTTGCGGCCTCAATGCAAGGAGGAAAAAACAATGTTGAATTAAATAAGTTGAGAGTGGAATAAACTGATTTAGTGGAATTTTTTTATTTAATTTGGAGTTTGTAACTTGATATGAGTTAAAATGTGATAACTAAAACTGATGTGATAAAATAATAATTGCAAATGATTGTAGTTGAAAATGTGTGAGTGGATGAATGGTGCATTTTGATGAAAAATGAGAAATAATATTGATTGATATTATTTAATTATATTGATAACTAGTAGAACACCCGTGTATTATACGGGTGCTTGTAAAAAAATTATTCCTAAATTTTAAAATTAATGAGAAAATTATATTAAATTTAGTTTACTTTTTTTTAAAAAAAAAATTACTATATATTTTAGAATGATATGTGTTACTTATGACTTACATGTGTTATATTATATTAGTTTTTTATAACTTATATCATATAACTACTTGAAATATAAATATATTAGTTGATAAATAATTTATTTTTCTAATTAATATTAAAAATAATTTTATTATTGTTATAAATAATAAATATAAATTATTTTTGTTATACATACAATATAGAGGTTAAATCGAAACTCATCAAAAGAAGATTAATTTGTTATATTACATATGTAAAACTGATAAAAAATACAAAAATTATTAACTTTTAAAAAATATATACAATTCAATAGTTATAATAAGGAATGATATTAAAATGCAATTAATACATGTAACATGACCATAAATAATCAACATATTTATGGTAATCCGAACTTAATTATTTTTGGTTTGTAATTTAATTAAAATTTACCCAAGCCGAACAACGAAGCATGTAATTTTGCCACATAGGATTCCGAAGCACCATAAGCAGCCACGTAGGCTCAGCGCGTTCTGGATTAATATATAGGGGGATATTGACGATAGTTATGTTGGATTAGGTGAATAGTGAACTGAGTCAGAAAAAATATTTGCACAATTTTATTTTTTGTTTGAGAACAACTATTCGGTGAATAAAAAAATCATTTTCAATTGCACCTTAAGAGGATGATTTTTTTTTTTTTTTCAAACGATAAATTCTATAAAAAAATCGGAGAACAACCGAACAGTCGAAAAGATACAACCATGGGAGACACTTAAAAAGTGGTCTAGAGACGCAACAAAAACATCGGCTAAGGCGGGGATACAACCACCGGAACCTTACCCGAACAACACATCCAACCAACACCTAACAAGCTAAACACAAGCTCACAAGAACATCCTGCAGACACAAAAAATAACAAAGAAAAACAGCAACACAACAACAACTAAGAACACAAACCAAACTAAATCAAGAACCAAACTAAACCAAACTACACAAAAAAGAGCACTTCTAC